TAAAAAAAAAACTAAATCATATAAAAAGAAAATTTAGGTTTTTGTCACAAAAAAACTTTCACTTTTGGAAAAAGCCAAAACTTTTCCCAAAAAGACAGAAAAACCCCTCAACTTTCAAACAAAGACATGCAAATGTAAAGGATTCCTTAGGAAATTCAAAAATAAACAAGGGCATTTTTGTCAATTTTGGCTTCTTGTACAAATATTTCTCTCTCCTTTGGCGTTTTCCAAAATGTCCCATCATAAAATTCCACGTGGGAAAAAACATGGAATTTACGAAAAAGCCAAAACTTTTCCCAAAAAGACAGAAAAACCCCTCAACTTTCAAACAAAGACATGCAAATGTAAAGGATTCCTTAGGAAATTCAAAAATAAATAAGGGCATTTTTGTCAATTTTGGCTTCTTGTACAAATATTTCTCTCTCCTTTGGCGTTTTCCAAAATGTCCCATCATAGAATTCCACGTGGGAAAAAACATGGAATTTACCTAATGTGAAAATAAGGTAGAAAAGAAAACACAATCTAAAATATTGCAAGTCAAATTCTAGAAGCATTTAAAAACACAGCTGAAGTGACAAATCACATCAAAATGTTGATGTCATAATTAGGCAATCTAAAGTGGTGGCAAATGATTTATCTAGTTGTGTGCCTAAGTAGTCCACAATTGGCTCCGTTGAAGTTGAGACTATATTAAAAGGTCCTTGCAGCCCATATAATATAATACTATATGAAATCCACATTTCCTATATATTTAATCTCGGAAGATATATAGTCTTATAAGAAGACATAAGTCCATTAGAAAACAATGAGAGTTACAAATTCTAGAACATTGATTTCCGTCATTTTAAATTCCATCATTTATGAATTCCAAAATACTTTTAAATTTCCCTGTTCAAACACAGTAAAAAGCAATCGCAAATGATAACCTTACTAAATAGGGTATATTTTTGCTCACCACTTTAACCCAAGGTGTACCCTCACCACCTTTCTCAATACTTGACACGTGTCCCTTGACATAATCATAGTTAACTCTTTACTTTGTATTTATGCAACCATGGTTATGTCAATAAACACGTGTCAAATTGGAGGAGTTATTAGAGATCACCTGGTTAACTGGATTGGTGGTTTCACTGTCAACCTGGGGAAAGGGCAAATCCTTGAAGCTAAGCTGTGGGGTTTATTTTTTGGTCTAAATTTAGCTATTAAAAGAAGAGTAATGGATATTGTTGTTGAAATGGATTCAGTCAATGCTGTGAACCTTATCCTGAGTAATGAGTTGAATTTTTGCCACCCTATGGCTGGTTTGGTTAGTAGCTGTAAGAGACTTTTGAGCCAGATTCTAAGAAGTAAACTTCACCATATCTACAGAGAGAAGAACGTTGTAGCTGACAGATTGGCTGCTTGGAGCCACGACATTGACCTAGGTTGCTGGTTTCTTGAGGAAAATCCGATTTGGCTTGGGCCTCTATTGATGGATGACTCAATAGGGGTTACTAAGACCCGTATGATTAATGCTGTTTAGTTATTTTTGTCCTTTTCTGGGGTTTTTAACCCCCCTGTTTCACCAAAAAATAAACACGTGTCAAATGTTGGGAAGAATGATGAGGATACATCTTGAGTTAAAGTGGTGAGCAAAAATGCTCCTTAAAGTATTCAATAATACAGTACATCAAATATTGTATGTATAAATGTCGATAGAGCAATATATATGATAGGATTTCGGATTGCAAGATTGATAGTAGGAGGTTAGGGCATAGTATTGCGTGTTGTAGGGTATGGACGGTTGAGTGGCCCACACAGCCTTTTGAGAGGCCCTCTGTTTTTTGTTAGTTTGTGTTGTGAGCAGACAAAAGCAGGGAAGCTTCTTATCCTCCCCTATGGGTTTTCACACAAAACCTTACACATAGAATCTCTTTAAAAGCCAAAGATCCAAACATCCAAACATCACCATCCTAATATTCCCTCTATTTTCAACCCCATTTCCAATCTTATTTACAATACATACCACTCTCTCTTTTTATCAATCATGGCAACACAAGGATAAGTAATACATTGTAAATCTAAGGGTAAATGCTTTATAGGTTTGATGCCAACAGTGGCCTATATAGTCCATTGTCGTACAAGCCAGTTTAGTTCAAGGTCCAGTGTTTTGCTCTCTGTCTCCCTCTCTCTCTCTCTCTCTCTCTCTCTCTCTCTCTCTCTCTCATTCTTTCTTTGCTTAGCTTCATCTTTCTCACTCTCAGAGAGTAAAATGGCACCCATGAGCCTTCCTCCTGGATTCAGATTTCACCCAACAGATGAAGAACTTGTTGCTTACTATCTAGATAGAAAAATCAATGGCCGCACCATTGAGCTAGAAATAATCCCAGAAGTCGACCTCTACAAATGTGAACCCTGGGATTTGCCAGGTAAGTAATTTTTGGTTTAGTGCATCATCTAAATAATTCTATAGTGATATTAATCATGGTCATAAACTTGTAAATCAATACCTAACATGTTTTATATTCTCTAACTATGCATAGTGTTTTGACATAGTTGATTTGTTTGCTTCAGATAAGTCATTTTTGCCGAGCAAAGACATGGAGTGGTACTTCTACAGCCCAAGGGATAGGAAGTACCCAAACGGGTCAAGAACGAATCGGGCAACTCGAGCTGGGTACTGGAAAGCCACCGGAAAAGACCGGGCGGTGAACAGTCAACGGCGTCCTGTTGGGATGAAGAAGACATTGGTGTATTATAGAGGCAGAGCCCCCCATGGCATTAGAACCAACTGGGTTATGCATGAGTACCGGCTGGTTGACTCTGTGTGTGGCAATGCATCATCATCTCTAAAGGTATATACATATAAGCTTGTAGTACTCGTAGTTGATCATCGATTTTACTATGCATCTAATTCCCTCCTCTTCCCTTTTTCTTCCTTTCCTTGAAAATTGGTAAATAAATATGAAGTTATGGAGTTAGAATCTTATGAAAACCTATTAATATATGGGCTAGCTCCTTGAATTCATCGAAGTGGGATCTAAGCGAGAGAGAGAGAGAGAGAGAGAGAGAGAGAGAGAGTCTTTAGGGTTTGATGAATTTTCCAAGAGAACAAAATTAGGGTTTGGGAAGAAAGATAAATATTCAATATTAATGACATATATCTATACTTAAATAAATTAAGATGCATATGCAATGCATATGATGTAGGAAACTTCCCAAGATGCATTTAAATTAGTCAATAGTTGTAAGCTAGCAACACATATGACTGTATATGAGTTACAGTTTACACCATCTTTTGTACAAAATATATATGTCTATGGACTCAAATAAAGCAAATCTCATCAGTCTTTGTTCTTTTTCTTCCTTTAACATTTTTTTTGTCCTTTTAAAGGAATAGCTTATCAACATGATGATTAAAGACTCTTCGGCCTACACTTTAGGTGTACTTGCTTTGCTAGTATCTTTTTCTAGTAGTCTTTAGCATCATCATATCTATATTTCTGTTCTTTTCCCCCTCTTCTTTCTCGTGGACTTGCTTTTCAATTACAGTCTTTGTAATTTGTGTGTTTCTTACATATGCATGCATATGTAATTTTAACATGATGTTTACAAAATTTGAATTTTCAAAACCACAGGACTCTTACGCATTGTGCCGCGTTTTCAAGAAAACAATACAAATGCCCAAGAACAACAAAGAAGAGAAGCCAATTGGGATTGATAATGCAGAGAATGATTCAGTTTGGGTCTCCAATAATGAACAATTATTAGGGGAAGACAATAGTGGGATTAACGAGACAGCTTCAAGAGGGATTGAGACTGATCAAGATGAGAATTATTCCAATCATGATTATCCCAAATTTCTCTCTGACACTTCTTCTTCAGATCTCACTCAAGGGACACCAACTGAAAATGGCATAGCAGATGATTTTCAAGCTCCATTTGCCTCTGATGAAGCAAACAGTTCTGCCGATCTCTACCCTTTTGGTGTTCACTGCTCCTCAAATCTAATTGACCAGGTTTGTACAAGTATTGCATATACAGTTTCAAACAATTTAATTTTCTTAGCACAGTACATTTAGACTAGGCCCTATGTTAGACACTCGTAGGAATTATTAGTACATTGATTACATTAATTAGGGACTGGGTTACTACGTACTTTCTTACCGAAAAGTCTAACATATTATGTTATCAAATCATTAATTTAGAACATATACAATGAAATAAAAGCCCACATAATTAACGATTCAGATTAACGATTTGACAACATTGGTAAGAAAACATTGCCCTTATGTAGCGAAATAGTACTATGCTCTTTTTAAGTCTTTTCAAAACCAAAATCTTCATGATTTGATTGCCTCCTTTGCCAAGGCAACATTTTTGGGCAATATTCTACTTTTGTATATAGCTAGCTGCTTTAAGGCTTCATGTTCACACCACAGAGAATTTTGAGATCAAGCTGGTCTTACGTAAATCATTTGATGCATCATGGACGCATTTAAACACGCGCAAACAATACCATGATTGGTTGGAAGTGGCCCACAAAACAAGGCCTTGGAGCTTTCTTTTGATCTTAAAGTAACAAAAGTTATAAGTAATGAGTTACATATAGCTTTTGCTAAAGCTTCGTTCAAAAATCTTTTATAGTAGACTGACTCAAATGAGCTTTCTTCATCATCTTCTATAACTTCTTTTGACTGACTCAAACATCTTTCTTCCCCATTTTCCTCAGAGTGTTCCTCTCAAAAACTTCTAGCTCTATCCCCAATGACTTTAAATCTCCCTAACAATTTGAACCATTCTCTTTTCTTCTTCTTCTTCTTTTTTTCGAAAACAAAAACAATCGGTTCAATAATTTACACCGAAAAATGAGCAATGAAAGAATATACATTTTCCAATAATTTCTCATATTCAATCTTTAATCATTTGAGTCTAAACAAGTACCCCTTTTTCTTGTTTTCCTGGTTTCTAAGTATCATACACATGAATATCTTGTTCTTGTACTGTTTCATGCGCCAAAATATAGAACGAGTCATGTAAACTTATTTGAATTTTGCCTCACATATAATTTGCATCTTGATTTTCTTGGTTTATGATTGTGATCAATATTAATTCGTTGTATCCATCTGCCAATTTATGCAGGAAACATACATACCACACAATGAAAGCTTATTGAATAACTATCAATTTCCTTTCCCACCCTTAGAACTTGAAGACTTCCCGCAGATCAATTTAGCTGCAGAGACGAATGCATCGAAGCCTGAAATCATCGACGACTACATGTCCTACGACAAATTCAAGGACTACATGAATGGAACATTTGAAGAAATCTTCTCTTTATGTTCCTCTCAAGACAACTCGGCTGCCCTCCCCATGCAAGAATTATAAGTACTACCTGACGTACACTCACATATTTTCGTATACTAGAATTCATTCACACACAAAGGTAGAATTTAGAGTAGAACTTGAAGACTTCCCGCAGATCAATTTAGCTGCAGAGACGAATGCATCGAAGCCTGAAATCATCGACGACTACATGTCGTACGACAAATTCAAGGACTACATGAATGGAACATTTGAAGAAATCTTCTCTTTATGTTCCTCTCAAGACAACTCTGCTGCCCTCCCCATGCAAGAATTATAAGTACTACCCTGACGTACACTCACATATTTTCATATACTAGAATTCATTCACACACAAAGGTAGAATTTAGAATTGTGTTTGGCTAAATTAATTTCTAATAACCAGAAGTGGTGGATTATATGTTGACAGCAATGAGATGATCATGATAAGGCGCTATCTATATATAATGTACCACACAAGAGAATGAGGAGTCAAAGCAAACATTTATATATTTTTTTTCTTTTATAATGTTCCTTGTAATTTTGATTCCCCCCTTTTTGCATGTTGGTGTTGAATCATTATTTTAAGTCAATTTTGGGAAGGGAAATGGATACGCTGATTATATTGTAACACTGTTATTATTATTATTATTATTTAAATTTATTGTGGCAGTGTCTTTGGTGTTCTATCCTGGATTGGTAAATAGTATGTGCCCATACAAGAGCCTTGGGAGACTTGGGAATACCTCACACCAGAGATCCCACATGTGGATTAAACTTACACACAACATAAAGACAGGAGATATAATATTCAACAGATTGTTTTGGGTATGGATTTGGAGGTTTCGAGTTCAAATCTCCTGACATCGTTGTTATGATACAATATTAAACAATCACCGTAGATTTCCAAAGGTTAAAGAATTGCGTTAAAAATGTACATGAAACTAACAAAAACAACGGGTTTATTTTTCAAATACAGATTACACCTACCACTATATATAGTAGGAACTCACTTCAGAATTTTTATTTTTTATTTTCTTATGAAGCAATTGTTTGATGGTTGTGACGTGGCCATGGGCTACAGACTCAATGTACGTACATGTCTTGACTTGGCCCGGCGTATGGGATGAGTTTTTGTGTTGGCAAAGACTAATTTGGCTCCGATTACGATTAACAATCTGAAATAAGAGGCCCAACCCAAGTGATATTAATTTGGCCCTACAAACTGAAATAATAACCTACAATTTGTTGTGTCCCGAACTTTTTTTTCTTTTCTTTCTGCTTTTTTGATGAGGCAACCTAGCTATAGGATCTTTCAAAAAATATATTAAAAAGTAAAATCACATATTAAAAACTAAAAATATATACAATGTTTTTTTAAAGTATGATTTGCGGGGAATTCACTAATATTCGACGATTTCATTTCCGGGACAGTGTAATCAGTGACTGTAGTAGTACTATAATATTGTAGTGCAAAAGAGGATTTTACAATGTTGTTTGATTAATTTGAGGGTTCATGAAATCCATTGCCAAGGGTGCCACACCACTCACTCAGCACTCACTAACTACACTGGAATTGGACTGAATTGTTTGAAAAGAGGCATTCTCCAATGACGATAAAAAGGGAAGGTCCCATTATGGAAGGGCACCTTTAGTCTTTTTTAAAACATCATTACATAAACAGTCAAGCTCTATTTGATTACCTTTCTCTTTTTTGATAAAATTATTCCAAAACAGTCAAGCAATGTATGATTTCCAAAAAGAACCAAGCTAAAGTAAGAAAAATTATTTAACTGAGTTCTATATACACACACAGAAAGTCTAATAGTTCCATGCAAAATCAGCCATAGAGTTCAGATCATGAGATGTTACTCCTGTAGACATAAGTGTAGACTCCAAAAAGCTAAAATCAAAGCTAGAGCTCTCCATCAATGAAGCATCCATGTCCTGATCATCAATAGCCTTGATCATTTCCATCTCCAAGAGCTTTTCCTTTTCTTGCTGCAGTACTTCTTCTGATCCCTTTGATTGCTCTCCCTCTAATATTATTCTTGGGGCTTCAAAGGGCTGAGCACCAGCAGCATAGAGGCAAGTACTGTTACCCAAGAGCCCAAACACTGATAGGTTCATTGAGGAAGATGATGATGAAGAGGAAATGTTGACTGTGCTCTCTGTGGACGGTTCATGGAAGGTAGGATCCTTAACACTAGTCCAAGCAGCATTAGGGTTTTGATCATCATGATATTGATGAGTGGGTGGTGTGGCCATGGTTTCGACCATTGGAGGTTGTTGAGCATTGTACAATGTTACTATAGGTGACGATGATGATGAGTTTAATTCTGCTGAACAATTTTTCATCTGTGAATTCACAGTAGTGAAATTTACTGAAATGGGTTTCTGTTGGTCATGGGGTTGTGATCTGCTGCTGCCTCCAATCTTATTAGATGCTCTCTGATGAGAAGAGATCAAGTTATGGGTTTTTGGGTCCAAACCTTGTGAAATGAGCTTTTTCTTAATGCATGAATTCCAGAAATTCTTCACCTCATTGTCTGTCCTTCCAGGGAGGTGCTTGGCTATCTGAGCCCATCTGCCACATTAACCAAAATTAACCAAATTAACCAAAATTTCCATGAAATCTAGCTTTTCCCAACATCTCACATCACAGGAAATTCCTTACCTGTTGCCTAAAATTCTGTGAACATCAATGATAATCTGTTCTTCCTCAGGAGTAAAGGAGCCCCTTTTCAGTTCTGGTCTCAAATAGTTTATCCACCTCAACCTGCAACTCTTGCCGCATCTCTGCAAGCCTACCAGGACATAAAAATATTTAATCACATACACAAACGCTTTCGTTAACATACAAATCCTTATATCGTCGGACTGTGAATATCAGCTACGCGTTGCTAGACAGTCTGATGATAAAACATTTTCCTTGAACTCCGGCCTTTCTTTCTCACTTAATGCAACACAAACAAATAATTAAGAGATCTTGTATACCTGCATGCTTTGGGACAGAACTCCAACTGCCATGGCCGCGGGTGGTGATGTGTTTGATGAGCTTCTCATCTTCTTCAGGTGACCATAGACCTCTCTTGACCTTCTGTTTGCCACAGCAGCGATGGCCCATCTTACCTCTGCAACCCACTCTTCCTCGAGAGTTCTCGGCTCCAGATTTGTATATTATATACACGGCCCCTTCACGCACAAGTTTAAGTAAACATATTTTAATATTTATATATAGTTGTTTATGATCAGACAAGACATACAATATTCATTTCCTATTTTCAATCCGAAATGGAGGGAGTCAATTAATTGATTAATTAATTAGTGTGTGAGTGAGATTACTGTGTGACATACGCATGACAAAGAGCCAACCGGTAACACATTTAGATTTTATAATAACATAATCATTGCACAAATATATATAAGATATTCGTAAATCATATTATTAACAAATAGCATTACATAAACTAATCATACATAAACAATAATGCTACTCTTATCACATTTGTATACCACATTCTCATACCACCTTATGTGGCAGATGAAGTGGACAGTCACATCAATTAAAAAATGTCAATAAATCATAAAAGAAATGTTAAATTAATTTAGAATAATACTATTCTTACCACATTTGTATACCACATTCTCATACCACCTTACATGGCAGATGAGGTGTACAACCACATCAATTAAAACTAATTTAAAATTTTCATTTCTTTTATGATTTATTGACACTTTTTAATTAATGTGGTTGTACACCTCATCTACCACATAAGATTGTATGAGAATGTGGTATACAAATGTGGTAAGAATAGTATTATTCTAAATTAATTTTAATTTATTTGACTATCCATTTCATCTGCCACATAAGATGGTATAGGAATGTGGTATACAAATGTGTTAAGAGTATAGCATTATTCCATACATAAAACACCTACAACGATAATTTTGTTCTCTGCTCAAGGTCAACCATGTTTGTAGTTAAACTAATTCAATCTTTTCTCTTGCACACACATTAATTTGCCATATAGCTAGCTAGTGTAAGTTAGTTATAATTCTAAAACGTGAAGCATATGAGGCCGTTGAACTTCACACGTGGGCAAACCTTGCTCTGATACCATCAGGTTCTGCATAGGGGGAGTAAATCCAACTCCTTATAAGCCGAGATTTATTAACGTTCTAATATAGAACATTTCTTCACATCCTCACAAATTTAAACCAAATATGACGTAAAAGTAGTTATAGCTATTCTACTGAAGATGCTCCTAAACATGAATTTGATTTTATAATAATATGTTTTTCCAAAATTAGAGGAAACCCACAAGTACAATAACCATTTGGGAAACATCAAGGGAAACATGAACCCACTTGTGTTTTTTTAGATTGGGATGTATCTATCGATAGCCTCCTATTCCATGTGTATCTACCTGAGTACAGCTGAAAGACAACAAGAATCCAATAGAGAGATCCCTGTTTTGTCATAAAAGCTAATACCCCAATTAAGAAATGTGCTGGAAATAGTAACTTGGGGTGCACTCATGAGAGGGAAAGGACCACAAAGGTTTAATTGAGTGCTTTGTTTCTGTTAAGCCATCGATGGCTTCTTACCACTATCAATTACAAAACTCATTACAGTTCATTGCGCACCAATTAGAGACGGAGGATGCACAAACAAAACATGTGCTTTGAGAAGCAACCTCCTTGTCCTTAATCATTTTGCTTTGCTAAAATGTAAACAAAAAGCCTCCACTACATACATATCTATGTTTGCATGGTGAAAACGTGCAAGTCAGAATATTCAAACACAACAAAGATTTAGATCAATTATTCGATCTCTAATAGATATTTTATGCAGAAAGAAAATAGTAGCTCAAGTGATTAAGAACAGTTACCATAAACAGAGGAAGCTTTGACAATGATGAAGAAGAAGATATTTCTTAATGACCAACTTCCTTCACACTGAGGTCTTGCGTTCAAATACGGGACCATATTTGTCCTCTCAGAAAAGCTTTGATAAAAAGTAGATATTTTATGAGACCGCAAAATGTCTAATACGGGGTACCATATTTGTCCTCTTAGAGAAGCTTTCTTAATCAAATTCATTCTCAACCCATAATTTAGTTTTTGAATGATCTCAGCTTCTCTTTTTTCAAGCTGGACATGCTTTTCCCTTATCATCTTAATTAATCAACCATGTACCTTCTTATATATTTTCTTTCCCTTACGAAACCTCATCTTTGTTTTAGTTTCTTGTTTTCTCTAGTTACTTTTTGAAGTGGTCTAACCGATGCGTGCTAGTCACGTGCATCCGTTTTAGACAACTTGGTGATGATTTATTTATATTTTTCTTTCTTAGCTGCATTCCTTGTATAAGTGTAATATAGAATCATTGTTATGTTAATGAGAAAAATCCAGTGTCTTGTTGGATAACGCTCTCTCTCTATCTATTTCTCTGTCCTTTCTCTCAAGGAAAACGGTACTTAGTCAAAGTTCAACTTAGTTTCCCTTTGTTTCTGTCTCATGTATATGCTGTAATATTGAAGAAAATTCATATCTTTTGATACAAGCGATATTGGATAGGGGGGGAATTGAATCAATGACATCGGGTGCAAAAGCAAATGCTCTTAACCACTTGAACTATAAGCTACTTGAGAAAAATTCATATCTAGATAATATTTTGAATACTACTACACTTGACTTGTGTGTTGGTAATATATATATATTTAGGACTCATGACCAATTCAATCCATTGAAGTTAACGAAGTCACTCAATACTCGCAAGTTATGCATTTGCGGTGTTGTGTTTGATTTTTCCCTCCTCCTCCGTTAATATCACTTTTAGCCACACCCCAGTGCACATTTTTGAAAATACAACAATTTAGCTCTAATTTTAAAGATTCAATCATACTAAGTGAAAATTATCCCATCCCATCCTTACAAGAATTGGTCCACTGCACTCGAATGACTCCTTGCACAAAACCACTCAACCACCAACACATAATAGACAAATGAAAAAGATTATAACCCAATCGTGTGAAAATTTCTAATTCCACCCTGGCGTATGTCTAATAAAAACTCAACATTCTATAAATTAAAATCAGTATCGCTCTCTTGGGTAGATCAATGTTAATAAAAGATACGAAAGGAAAGATATGCATCTCTTTTTTCCCATAATTTCCTTTTGAGAAATTAACCATGGATGGATTATTGCTTCACACGTGTTCATCTCTTTGTGACGACCATAATAGTTGGAAATTGGAATTTAAAATTTACTTTTGTGTCTCTAGCTAACCTAATTGTTCACGTTTTGTCTCCATGCCGTCTGCATGTGTAGTATCGATGAAGCATTTCATGACTAAGACTAAATATGCTTTCGCGTTTTGTCGGTATGCCTTTGCATGTATAGTATTTTTGAGAAGCATTTTTAGATTAAACTTGCTTTTCGCAAAAGCCTCCGCAAAGAAGAGAACAATTTATACCAACACGGTGGAAAGTAGCTTTAATTTTTCGGTCTAATGGTCTTATGTTCGAAATTTCATGTTATCTTGATAGTGTGTGTGAGAAATTTATCATTAGACTTATGTTCGAAATTTTATGTTATCTTAACAGTGTGTGTGAGAAAATCTATCCCCTCGTTCCTAACTTTGACAAAACTATAAGAGGGAAAAAAGGAATCCTAACTTTGACAAAACAATAAGAGAGAAAAACGGAAGAGAAGAGAAAAATGCATCATACCCTGGTTGACTAGTTCGATGCCATCCAAAGGTGACAATATTCCCAATAATCATGATTAATGTCCCATCACAAGTTATTAAACCAGTCCATGTCAATTTGACATTTATGATTTTCTTAAGTATTATAGTGAATGACTAATCATTAACAACTCGCTTTTGCGAATGTTATGAGTCTTATGACCCACTAATTAGTATGTCACCTTTTAATTATGTTCTCCCATGTTCTATTATGGTTAACTGTAATTAATATAATTCCGCTGATAAAACAGATCTCCAGAAATTTAGCAGCTGCAGTGCCTCCATGGCATCGCTGATGAGCTGAGTTATCGTTGAAAACTAATTATGCGATTATTGTAAACGACACCAACTAGCTATTAATCTAACGATATTTCTCTTCTTTCAAGATATTGGAAGATGAAGACTCAAGTTCAACTCCGTCCTCCGCACTACTTTTGTCACTCATACGGTGGATTTAGTCAATGCCAAAATTTGATGTTTCTTGTAGTTGCATACATGTTTTTGTTTCCAGTTATATATATCTAATTAATAACTTGTCTTGCTAATTAATCCTTGTCTTAAGGACGTCAGTGGATAGCGAGGACCAATAGCAAATCATATGTTTGCTAGTCTGACTGCAAAGCTCTCTCTTACATAATTTAGAACTAAAATACAATTATATATATATTTTTTATATTTGTGGATTTTACTCGACCGATTGTGTAAAAAGATGCACAGCAATGGAGTGGCTCAGCATTGTTTATTGATAAGGACATGATTTGGTTAGAGGCTGTCGCCTGGGATTGAGCTTGAACAAGAAGCTCTTGGTCTGATGAGGAATATTTATCTTTCTATAGCTTTCTATAAAGCATTTGCCCATATGGTTGTATATAATGACTTCATTTGTAGAGCAAAACTTTGATTTGAGAAAAAAAAAAAACAATGACTTGTATGCATGCCTAATTTTGTAGAAAATACTACCCACCTCATACATTTCTTGCAGCGAGTCATATTGTCATATATACAACATTAGCACGATGACGTGGTATATCTGGTTACCCTCTAGATTATTTTTTCTTCTTCATTTCATGAAACAGAAACTTTAAATCTTACGCATTCCTTGAACACAAATTCGTATAATGACGTGTGGTACGGTGTCTTATACGATGGTAAAAGAAAAATTCAAAATCTGCATCAGATAACACAAGAAAAATTCAAAAGTCATCAGCATATGCATTGACGTTCATGGTCAAGAGTTCATACGAGTCAAGAGTCCATGATGGTCAGAATCTTAGGTACACCTGATCATATTCATCACAAGACAAAGTCATCAACATTTCCAACTCCAACTCCCAAATTTATGGGCAACGCCGTTTGTAATCAGCTAGCCCCAAATTCATCATCTCTATAAGTCTATAATCCAATTCTTAGGTTTACGTGATCAATTCATTTTTATCTCTCCAATACGCTACTTTTCTCTAATGATTAATTATTAATTAGCATAGTTAATTTCCCGTAACACGAGCAAGATGTCACTTCACTGATTTAAAAATCTTCACTTTGGCTTCTGATTCAATTCCTCCTTAATGTAAAATATGTATTAGTTAGAACAGTACTTGTGTCCCTACATTAAAAATCTTGTGAAACAAGAAAACGCAAAGGCTATCAAAGTCTAAATTTCAGGTTGGCAAAAGCTCTGGCTAATGCAAAGGTAAAAAAGATAATGCATTGTGGATTTTTGACCCCTGAATTGGAGAAAACGGTGTCGATGAAGTGCAAGAGTGAATAATCAAGCATACAATTTAATCCAATTAATATTCTATTGACGACTCTGTCCAATAATGACTGACCTATTTAACAAAATCTGACGAACAATTGCCAGGTTGCAAGTCTTTGCTCTACATATATATATGTGTCTGTCTCAGTCGTTCTAGAATCATGAGCACTTGCCAAGACGTATAATTTAGAGATGTTCTACTAATTCTTGGCAAGGCTACCAACTTAATCACCTGCAGCTAGGGTCCGCAATAGGATATATCAAATGGAGAAAAAGTGTTTGGGGTTGAAATTAATTACGTATGCTAGCTCGATTATGGTCGGGAATGTGATAATTTATAGAAGAGTATATTTATAAGGAATCGAATGTCGTAAGAAGATGTATGTACGAACTAGCTCTTAGCTTAGTAGCATTTCTCTTTTTAATATTAGAAGGTGTTAGAATTCGAATTCCCGTCTTCACTTAATAAAGAAACAAAAAAAGGAGGTGTGTATGATTCATAATTGGTGGTAGATACTAGATAGTAGGAAATTTATGTCTAAGGTGAGAATTTTAGGCCCAAATCTCATAATAGAACTAAGGGAATATATGCTGCAGCCCAGGCAGGGTGGCTCAGTCCAATGTAAGCAAGCAATAATCAAAGCAGAGGACTAAAACTATTGGGCTGAATTTTGGGTTATCCGTCAAATCCAAAACTCACAGAAGAGTTAGTATTATTTGGCCCTTGGCCTCCACTTGACAAAATACATTTATGGTAAATTACAATGAGTAAATCATCAAATAAGTATATGAGTTAGTATTTGGCCATTGGCCTCCACTTGGTCATAGGAGGTTTTCTTTGTCAGGTTATGAGTTGAAGTGTAGTGCTTCTCAGGAGTCCTTTTACTGTTGTTTTCGTGTTCCTCCTTCGTGTCTCTTCTGATTTCTGCTATGGTATGACTTGCAGTTTGTGTGGGTGTCAGAGGATTATGATTTTGCTCATAGAAGACTTCTTTAGACAATTGGTATGTTCTGCAGTCCTCTTATTTGGGTTAACTATTTGGGGTTTCTGTGGTCTTCTCACTTGGGTCTACTGTGTTGGTCTCTAGTTGCGATTCTCGTTGAAAGTCTTTGTGTTAGTTTTCATTTTTGATTTGTTCTTTTATTATAATGGTCCAAAGTGACTTGAATCTGACTCTCTTGTTAATCCATGACATGTGTGGTACTCTTTTCTCCCCTGGGGTTTGTCCTAGAAAAGTTTTAACGAGGCCACTGTATCATGTCGCCCTTCGTATGTCTTTGGTTCTATGAATGAATATTTTAAAAAGAAACTTATTTTTGTATACAGTAACTCTTATTTAACTCATACTTGTACAATTTTCTAAAGGAAAAAAAAAAAAAAAAAAAAGAACTTGTGTGCTTGTACAATTCACACATTGCAAAATTCTTATAACCAAAACTGAGTATCACACAATCTTTCCCATTTATTGTCCAAAAAAAATATTTCCCATTTAAATTTCTAAAACCTAAATTTATAATGTAACAAAAATTATAAAATAATAATGTAAAGAGTAATCCAAAAAAAAGAGAGGCCTCCGGGTGAAATGCTCGGCAGCAGCCAGTCCCAGTTCAGCCTGTCTGCAACGCAGAAAGACCCTTAAACCCCAAAAATCTCAATATCCTAAAAGAAGTTTAAACCGTAAAAATGAGAGGTGGAACCGCCATTGGAATAGGAAGGAAGCTCACGAACCCATCAAGCCTCTCCATTTCCAAACAAACCCTAATCCCCTTCTCCACTTCCTCCAACAGTGGCGGTGGCCGAGGTCGCGGTCGCGGCGGTCCATTTCCCCCCACTCCCGCTCGATTCGACTTCACTCCCCCACCTCGCGTCCCTGGTCAACCAGACTCCGACGACCCCAAACCTGAACCACCCCCGTCGGCGCCGGGACTCGGCCATGGCCGCGGCAAACCCTTGCCTACCTTCTCTTCCTTCGTCTCTGCCATCAAACCCAATTCAGGAGCTGGTCGTGGCCAGCCGGGTCAAGCGCAATCCATCCCTGAATCACGTGATCCGGTGGCCCCCGATGCCGGACCCAGCAAACCCATTAAACCCATTTTCTTCGTAAGGGGAGATGGGTCCGACCCGGCGTTGCCCGGTAGCGGGCGGGGAAAACCCATGAATTTTACCCGCCCGGAGGTTCAAGTTAAGGAGGAGAACCGGCATATTCAGGCCCGACCCGAACCGGATCCGGACCAGCCTAGAACCAGGCCCAGAGGTCCGAAGTTGACCCGGGAAGAGGCGGTGAAGCAAGCGCTGGGGATATTGGCACAGGATGGTGCTGAGGGAGATGATGTTGGTGGTGGTGGTGGTGGTGGTGGTGACAGAGGCAGAGGCAGAGGCAGAGGGATGAGAGGCAGAGGAAGAGGAGATTCTAGAATGAGTGAGAGAGGGGATAGGAGAAGGGGTAAGGATTCGGATGATAGCTATGCTTCAGGGCTCTATCTTGGGGACAATGCTGATGGGGAGAAGCTGGCTAAGAAGCTTGGCCCTGAGATTATGAATAAATTGGTCGAAGGGTTTGAGGAGATGAGTAGTGAAGTGCTACCTTCGCCTTTGGATGACGCGTATGTGGATGCCATGCACACCAATTTTATGGTAAGGAATGTTTCAATGCTATGTCTTTTTTGGTTGCTAAGGAAGTGTAGGAAAGGAGTAGCATGTTTCAGATTGTGAATCTTATGTTGTCTGCTTGTTAAAGATTGTTGTAGTTAACTGAGCCTAGTACTGCATTTAGCTTTGTGCGAAGATCATGTTGTCTGCTAGACAATTTTCGACAACTTTTGAGTTTCAACAATTTTAGTTTTTCGATGCTGTTGTGATTGTTCACTATTGTTATTTGGATTGCAGATAGAGTGTGAGCCAGAGTATCTGATGGGAGAGTTTAATAAAAACCCGGATATTGATGAAAAGCCACCTATTTCTCTCAGGGATGCTCTTGAGAAGATGAAGCCTTTCTTGATGGCATATGAGAATATTCAAAGTCAAGAGGAGTGGGAGGTATTTTTTGTTTTCGTGTGTTATTTTTTTCTGCTGATTTTGCTATTGTGCAGTCCAATCCTGCATCTTTATCTTTAATTCACGCTATAATAGGAGTTTGGGTTCTGCTTGGCCTTTTTCTTCGTTGCAAAGTCGTTGGACTTTGGTAGCAGTTGAATTTGATGTTAGGAATTTAGGTTTGTTGGAAGCAGGAAACCTTTTCAAGATGATCAAAAGCTGTATCTTATTTTGCTTCTGCTTGATTGCTGTCATATTCACTTCTCTTTGATAATGCACATGTGCCATCTAGTTTGTTTATTTATTGGTTATCTAGACTTTATCAGATAGGAATCTGGTAAAATGAAATTATTCTCAAAACCTTTGTGCTTTGTACCTAATCTGTCTTAGAAGGTCTTCAACTCATATCAGGGAGCTCTAATTGACAGAAGTAGGAGTGGCAAATATTTTTGACTTCAACTATGATAGGAAATGTGGGGGGTTTGATTCTTATATGCACCTGATCTGCTTGTTATCTAAGTTGACATTTTATTTTTTGGCATATTGATGTCTTATTTCCTTAAGGCTAAAACAAAGAGAAAAGTTGAGGAACGTGTGTTTGCAAGAGAGTAGACTTATTGAGAGTGATAGCCAGGAAGGGTAAAGGGGCAATCAGCTCTCTGGTTCCAGTTTTCAACAGTTGGTTATGTACTCAGCTACCACTTTTGGTGACCTTTGCTAATGATTTTAGTTTTTTGTTGTTAAAAAAAGAAAACTGTCTTTGTTTTATGGAAAAAACCAGATATAGAAATCAATATGGGCAACTGTTATTCATTCTTAAAAAGAGAGAGAGTGGGAGAGAGGTGAAGGAGAAGGAAAAGGATTGCGAGAAGGTGCTTCCTGTCTAGAAGGCTTATTTAATTGTCTTTTTAAAGGTTGTCAAATGCATCTTTTGTTCCATTTTCCAAACAAAGTAAACAACGAAAACGAATACGGAAATTTAACAAATCAGCTTTTTAATCTTTTAACCTTCGCCACTACTTAGCTTTGTATCTCATTTAAGGGCCTTGGACTGGTTATGGGAGTAATTTGACAAAGGGTAGACCTACCATGAGTTTGTAGGCTACTAAAGGTTATGGGAGTAATTTGACGTAGGGGAGACCTACTAAAGGTTAATTTTTAAAACTTCATTATTCTGCCACTGATTAGATTTGATTCTTGGGAATTTGTATGATGGACCTTAAACTTCTAGCATGCTCATAATAAATAAAAGTACAGTTCTTGTAAATGGGGTGACTCATTTGTTTCTGTTATTCTATGACCTTTTTTATATCATCAGGAAGTTGTGAACGAGACTATGGAAAGAGTTCCATTGTTGAAGGAAATTGTTGATCATTACAGTGGGCCAGATAGGGTAACTGCAAGGAAACAACAAGAAGAGTTAGAAAGAGTTGCAAAAACTCTTCCTGCAAAGGTACCTGATTCTGTAAAGCGGTTCACTGATCGTGCAGTGCTTTCTCTCCAGGTGTGTGTTTGTCCTTGTGCATTCTAAGACCTCATGTTGTTTGTCCAATTTTATGCATGAAAAACAACGTAGCAAATTTTTAATTTTCTTTGCTTTTGGTTGTTCTTTTATCATATTATGTCGTGGATGATTTACTCTTGGAGCCTCATGTTCCGGGAGTTCTGTTTATGCTGTCTTGAAATTGTTTCACTGCAATGTTGAGGGACAATATTAGTCAGTTTGGCATGTTCATACAAAGAAGGGTTTCTCTTTCTCAAGAGCATGGCACCAACATGTCAGTACATTTCACTGCTTAGGATGAGGTGTAGCGTAATCATCTGTGCGGTACAATATCAACATGCATAAGTTGTGTACAATAGTTTTACTATTCCTTTGAGCGTACATGGGATGGGTATAATAAGTTGTTGCAAATTCAATTTCACTTTTGAGTTTAATTTGTATTTATGTATTTATGTATTTCGTATTAAAATTTATGTGAAGAAACACTACATAAGTATTTTGTTCATCACACTCTTGATTTGCAGAGCAACCCTGGCTGGGGATTTGACAGGAAATGCCAGTTCATGGATAAGCTAGTGGCGAAGGTTTCCCAACACTACAACTAAAGTCAGGAAGCTTAGTTTTTAATGGTTAATGCTGAAAATGGTCATTGCCTAAGCTCCAATGCTGAAAAGAAGTTAATTATGCTTTGATTTCTTCAGTTCAATTTTTTTATTCCTCAGAATTTTGTGCTTGTAGTTCTTGTTCTAAGCTTTTTTAGTTGTCATTAGCAAAAGAAAATGTTAAGCTGTCTAAAATTTCTATCTGCAAAGGTGACAGAAGAGTTGCATAATTTGTCTGTAATAATTTGCTCTCTATGCAGCATAGCACTTTTTGTGAAGCGCTTGTCTGTGCATTCGATTGAATGCCAATAGTATATGCTCAATGAGCTGATTACGTGATTTGTTGCTTGCTTATAAGAAAGGTTGTTCCTTTTACATACTCTTGACATATTGTTTATCATGTGCATACATGTTCACTGAGGAATTGTTGCATTGGCATCCAGTGAGAAGAGCCACAATCCAATCCCAGTAAAACTAGTTTTAGATTTGGTGAAGTTAACAGCATAAGCATTTAAAGTTTCTGGCTTTAGATGGTCTTTTGATCAGTTTCTGGCTGTGTAGCTAATCTAAACTGGAAATCATTGAAATGAGACTCGGAGAATGACAATTTTAAGGAGCAAGCTTTGCTCTTCATTGTTTGTTTTCTTATTCCATGTAGCTAACGCTGCCCAAGGTTCAAATGCCCTTGAGCCCCGAAAAAGAATAGGAATCGTTGCATGTGATCCTCATCATGCGATGATGCATGCTGCTCATTCTTCGTTTATTTTGTGCCTTAAGGTAGTAGATCTTTTGTGTCAAATGCTGATTGTATTCCCCAACTTTTTTTTTTTATACAAGAGATATTCTATTTTAATCTTATCTAAACTACGAGGAGGGGACTGAGGGGTTTACCTCAGTGGTGAGGTCCCTCCCCCTTCCCCCCCTTTGGTCACCACTTCGAATCCCAGGAAAAGTGCCGCCCTCCCCAAATCGCTGCATTTATAAATAAATTTAAAAAAAAAAAAAAAAAAGTTAGGAGGAGGGGACCCGAACTCGGGTGCATAATAGAGTACACATCCGCTCTAACTAACTTAGCTAGCTCATGTTTTTCTAATCAACAGCTGCACTGCACTCCACAAAGCCTGCTATGCTATCTTCAACATATGTAAACAATTTTATCTGGAAAAAGAAAAAGAAAAACCCTTTTCTCTTTGAGTTTCTGGGGTCTTTAAAGCTTAGCGATAAAATTTGAACAGCTTTTTTTGTCCATGTGATGGCCACAAAAAAATACAGATCTACTATTATAGTAGAATTGTTTCTCAACTTGGATTGATTCTTACAAACGTGCACTTTGATTTCATTTTGACAGAATATTCCCCGTTTTCAAAACCAAGGACATGAAGAAATAGAAATAGCAGATGGTACTAGAGGGGTGAGAATCAAACCTTTTTTTTAATTTTTTTTTTATAGGAAATGTATGACAAATTTTGATATTTTACAATTCCAATCCAACTCTCAACTTGCTACGTCCACCATTTAAAAACGCAACTTTATATAAGTTAAGCAAAAGGTAGCGTTACAAGACAAAGGTAGTTCAAATCAATCTAGACACGACCAACCGCATTACAAGCAGCTGTCTCTTTGTACTGTTGTTCATCCATCGTATCACAAATGCCTCTACCTCTTGTCTCTGGCAAACAAAAAGCAAACAACCCACTAACCCCAACCACAACACCAAACACTCCAAACGACAAAAACCCGCCATTGGCTCTCCCGGCGGCAGCCAGCATCGGACTAAACACACCACCCAACACCACCGCCTGCCTCACCATCGACAGAGCCGAGTTTCTCACGCACGTGGGAAATAGCTCAATCATATATATAAGCAAGACATTGAAAGCTGAGCAGGCGCTGAAAAAAGACACAAGTTCGAACCCAATTTGTAATCTTGTCCATATTGGATTCATCCCCTTCAGCACAGACATAATGCTGCAAATCCCACAAAGGCTGGTGAAAACAAGGAGTGAGGTTTTCCTGTTCATTTGGTCGATGAAGAAGAATGCGATTATTGAAGCTGGTAGCTCAGACAAGGCATTGAATGTGACACTCAAGTAGAGATTGAAGTTCAAGCTTCCCAAGGCTAAGGGCATGCCATAATACACCATTCCGGTGCCAAACCCTATTGCCATAACCGTGGACAGTCTCCGAAAAGCCCATCTTCTCTCTACCAGAACACTGATCGCCGAGTAGAGATCAACGTTCCATGTTTCTTGCTCGAAGGACAAGCTCGAAATAAAGCTCGAGGTAAATGGTGTTTTAGTAGTAGCACTATCAATGGGTGCAATGCATTTTAGGGTTGCAATTGCGTCTTCTTTGCGACCTCTAACAAAGAGCCATCTTGGTGACTCACGAACCAAGAAATGAACCGTAATAGAATACAATAATGTGGGAATGGAAGTCCAAATATAGAGGCTTCTCCATGAATGAGCTCTTTGACTATATGCTATAGCGGGTAGGGATAGAAACCCTAGGGTGAAGCAGAAGAATCCGATAACACCAACTTGGCCGCGCCACCGCCTCCCAACGAGCTCCGTTGATAAGACAAGAGCGGAGGTGCCAATGGTGGCGCGGCCAAATCCGGTGATGAGTCGGAGGGCGGAATAGATCCATATGTTGGTAGAAAAGGCGGTGAGGAAGGTGGACAAAGACATCATGAGACATGAGAGGAAGAGCATGTTTTTGCGTCCCAGTGAGGTGTCAGCAAGTGTGGCCAAGGCCAGTCCGCCAATTAAACAGCCCATAAAAAAGGCGGAGGCAGGCAGGCCAGTCACGAGGGATGACGAGCACTCAAGGGCCCATTCAGAGACGGTGGAGGTGTATTTCGGCCTGTCCCAGGCCCATAAGTTTTGGGGAAGTTGGCAAATGTTGGAGGCTGAATTGCATGAGCTGTGGCGGTCAGTGAGCTGGGTGCAGTGCCATGTTGGCTCCGCGTCTGTGAAGACAGTGATGAAGGTTTGTTGGGCATCAAAGAACCATGAAAATGATACAAGGGTGGCTTGGAGGAATTGGGCCCACCCGAAATCTCCAATGCACCGCTCGATCGTGGAGTCAAGGGAGGGAAGGTGTTTGTGCAAAACCGGAGGCTCTGAGTCGGACAAGTTGAGTTCGGAGAGAAGAGGTGTTGAATCAGCCATTTGGTCCAGAGCTAAAAGCAAACGTTTGAGTTATGAATGAGTGAAGTAATATAATGAATGCTTTTATAGGGCTTTTGGTGTTTGAGTAATGTAAAAAATTTTGTTGTATAAAATTATTGGTGCTTTTGTGTAAGAATTTCAGTAAAAGCAACTTATGTATATAAATCACCGTATACAGATCAACGATCTAAGAACATATAATTAAACGTGTTTCACATGGCATCTGCGCATCTCTTAACTTTTCTTGCAATGGCCTGCTCCTTTCAATTTGGTATGGGGGACCAACTTTTACAAAGTTTTAGGATTTTATATAATCCTAATTTTTTGTTTCCAAATACATATTCTTTTTCATTTATATTATTGTTTAAATTTCATCAAGGCAGTAATTACAAGACAATTGACAAGCATGCAGTATCACAAAGGAGGTTTTATACAAGGAATTGTCATAGAGTTTTATTGGTTCGGAAGACTACTTGATATTTCTAAACTGAATTAATTAACATAAAAGATTGGGCTTCATACTTTTTTATAGATAAAAACGATAAATTACATTTACAATTCAGGCACAAAGACCGTCAGTTACAAAATTGGCTTCATACATTAAGAAAAGAAAGAGAGCACACATTTTAGCTTTGTTACTTGCACGAATTAAATAAACAAATATCACTTGGAAGTCTGAGTTTGGATATTGAACGGCAAAAATTGCAATTGGGTGGTGAGTATTGATAAATCTTTTTTTCATGCTTTAATGTGACTCACACGTTTACATATCAATCGCAAGTGACAAGTACTCTAATTTAAATTAGAGAATTGAAAACATTCACGTAATTGGATGTTTGAGGCATCAATCTTATCACTACAGAACATAGTTTAATCAAGATTCAAGACTTAAAAAATCATATAAACACTAATAACCACATGAAGCAAACAAAAAATGGCGGTAGTTGGGTTAATATTAAACGTCATTGAGCTTCTTAACATTGATGGACGGATTAAGCGATGGGTCAGGTTAAGAACTTCTTAACATGAATAAAATTAATGGTTTTGAGCTTTTGGTTTTCATGATGAACAACTCGAAAACTTGCTTTCCAGCCTACAAGATATATATGGTTCAGTTTTGCTTGATTTTCCACAACATGGAATGGAAGTGCACTTTAATAATGTTAGAAAGTGGCAGATGACTAAGCTTCTCATCAGTTATGCACCATCTATTAGTATATTAATATTGTTTCAAGCACATGCATGAATCGACCATCCTCCAATTTGGATAAAAAAAGAAGCCTTTTTAGATAATCTAAAATAAAACCCATTTTTTCCTTTTTGGGTCTGAAATTATGAGCTTTCCTTTTATCACATGATTATGGCAGGCAGGGACATTGACGATTAACAAAAGGGTGGTTGAGGGAAACAGGTTAAAGAAAGAGGCGCATGTTGTCGCTTTTACTTGGCAGTGAACTCTGTTAGAAAATTTAATAGTTTTATGTTGTTTGGATGAATACAAAAATAAGAAACTTGTATTTAGTCACAATTTTGTTGTGAACCGGTTTTGCCTTGTACAAGTTTTGAATGACAAGTTGCTTCGGGTGCTTGATGAATGTGGGTGTGTTTTATGAATACATGCATCATATCTATTTCAATGAAAGGTTATACGTATTGAATTGTTGTTTTATCCACAATTTCTACTGGTTAACGTATGAAGTACGAATACCTAATGCAATTCCTAAGTGAGAAGACGAGGAGAAATGGTTCGTTGTGTCGGGTTTATTTTGGGATAAGAGCAAGGATAAGGAAAAAAACTCTCTTTGTGAATTCCCTGTATATTATTATTCTTTCAAGACTCTTCAAAAGAGAAAGATCCCTCCTTACAAGCATGGTGGGTTCTATTTAGAGCAGCTCCAGCGCTCACCCAAAACCGGGCAAAAGGCCCCCCAAGGCAGCCTAAGAGAGCTCCAGCGCGCAAGGCTGGCCCTGGCAAGAGCTGGGTCCCACGAGCCCAAGCAAGCCCACAGGCAAATTCAGCTCGAGCTGCTGCCTGGGCAGAATGATGCAATGCTGACGTCATTATGACGTCAGCAACCAAAAAATTTTGAAAAACAATGGAAAAAAAAACCCAAAAATTCCAGAATTTTTTTTAATAAATACCTAGGCATATTCTTTACTTCTCACACCAAAAACTCT